AAAAACGCTAAGACTCATGGGTGGACGCTTGTTAGTAAACAATGACACGCTTGCGCATCTAACGCATGCGCAGGTGACGACTCCCCCGCTTTAATCATTATGCCATGATGCTAAATCTGCACACACAGAAATCGTTTGCGTGAACAAATCAGACTCTGACACTCTATTTCTGTGATAACAGTTGTAAAAACCAAAGAATCAAATAAAGAATCTGAAGTACACGTCACCTTCAAATTTAAAACAAAGAACATCGTAATCCACCATGACGGGCTGCCTAAAACGCGTCCGTAATTCAATCGAGAAGTAGAACAATATCAATAACTGGAAGAAAACTTCACAGCGATCGTGGATTCAAACATGGAAGGTAGAAGAAAGGAAAATATATACAAAACATCATTTTGAAACTAGATGACATTAAGCAATATATTCACTTATTTAAAAAAAAAGGGACAGAGAAATTAACACTGGAAATTGACTATGCGAACAAATCCGTTGCCACCAACAACCGCGTCGCAATTATGGTACCTCCAACCACAGATGCCACAAACAGCCCGAGCTTCTTTGCCTCCAACGTGAAGACCGCCCTCTACAGCCCAGGAAAGATTTGTTCAAAAACTTCGTGAAACGACGCGTGCGTAGAGATGGTTAGAGTGGAGATAATTACATATCAAAATTGATAATGGACTCTCCGTGATTTAAACCTATGAACTAATGTATTATTTGGAGTTGCTATCAGATTTGCCGAATGCTTAGATTCATTAGAAGTAATTAGACATGATAAAACATGTACCGCTCCAAAAAACTTTACTTCATTTATAAAAGCAAATTCAATCATTTCATCACTAGTTTCAGTTTCACTAGTACAAGTTTCAGAGAGTACAGATTATTTTAGTTGGCGTAAAGTTGACAAAGCTTTTTGAGCTTTTAGTAAGAACTATCTTATTGGGTGTATTTATATCCCGTTTAAAAACTCGTTCATTTACAAAAGCAAATATGCAGATTTATTTAACCTTGAAAACGTGAAAAAGTTGACGTTGTTATTCTTGGTGACTTCAATGCCAGAGTAGGAACAATTGATTACGTAGTTAACGAAAATTGTAACAAATATCTACCCTTACTTTATCCAAAATAACATGGATATTACGTCATCATGTCATATCAACAAATTCGGCGGGAAATGAATAGAGCTGTCTATGGATTGTAACTTTCTTATTTTGAATGGCACTTATCGATCCATTGTGCAATTTCACTGTCAATGAAATCGGCTGTATACACGATTCTCAAAAAATGGAAAGATACGATTCTGCTAGACATTGTCCTTGGTCCTTTATATTTTGGATAACCATGATAAAAAAAATTTCGAAGCAACGTTGCTCTTTTCCAGAAAAGATGAAATTGGTCGTTGTAAATGACTTTGAAAGGTGGATTACAACCATTACTGACAAAAGTCTGAAGATAATTACACCAAAGTTTTAAAAAGTCAAACACGTTTGAAATGAGGAATGGTTGGTTTCCTTATTTTAAGAACTTGTTAATTAAAATTACGATGCACTGCACAACGAAGTAGCCAAGACAATCCCCAATACTGCATTAAACAACCCAGTTAAAAAAATGAAATTAGCAAAGAATTTAATCTACTTAATATAAATATATCTTCACACGAATACAAAATATGTAAATAAATGCTAAAATGTGAATATCCACACGTAATGGATGCTCTGCATAGATTATCTAACATTGTGTTCAATGTTTTCCAGAAATCTTATTAACAAGTTTGTTAGTTCCTATCACAAATCTGAGACAGAATCTAGCCCGAGGACTGAAAAAAACTTACCCGATAGCCTTCGTCTCAAGCTCATGTGACCCTCCAACTCTCGGGAATTCAATGACAAAGCAAAGATTATGGTTTTTCAATAAATTAAATAGATTTCTCGATAATCACACTATCTTTTTGAAGGTGTTGAACTTAAGGTAGAAGCTTACTCATAAATTAAAAAAAAACAGAATTCATTCATTTTGCAATAATATGTACTCCAAGGTAATATAAGGATATTGACCTAAAAAAAGTTTTGGGTCAACAGCCTTTTTTTCGAGAAATTGATGGTTGTATTTTAGTGGAAAGTCGCCATTTTGACACTATTATAAGACTTTTACCACGGGTTCCTATGGCAGAGATAGTATGCAATATCTCAAAATCTAACCTGGTGACATAGGCTGAAAAAATCATATATTATTATAATGATGGAGTACTTTTTGTTGTTCTGAATTATTTAAAAAATCTGGGTTTTAAAAAATGTCAAAAAATGCAATTTTTCTTTAACATTGTGTCTATGGAATTGTTCTAAAATTAGCAATTTTTAAGAAATATTAGGACACGTTTCTCAAAAAGCTTAACTAAAACACACAAAATAATGCTATTTCATTGTACCATGAGACATTAGCTTCACGATTGTACATGAACAAATGAACATTGTCATGCGATGCATTAAAATTGTATCTCCAGGTAATATACAGATATTGTCTTTAAAAAGACGAGCGTAATTACATAGTTGCCATTTTGGCAGTATGCCAACGTTTTTGCCATTGGTTTCTATGACTTAAACTATTATGCCATATCTCAAATTGCAGGCTGGTAACATAGGCTGAAAAAATCTTCTACCTGTTTCCAAAACTGAAGTCCCACTTGCGTAGTGACCGTTTTGAGACTGATGATCCAAGCTGTTGAGACCTATCTAAAGGATCGAGATGAAACCCCCTTCCAGCAGGGAATAGGAAAACTGGAACATCGATGGACAAAGTGCTTTGTACTTTATAGAGGGGACTATGTTGAAAAATAGTGTAATAAAAATCCTCCTTCTGTAATGTTTTATGAGGAAGGCCGAGAACTTATTGATCACCTTCCTACCGATAATGACGTGGTAATTTTGGTTGTTCTGAAGTGTCGACAAATTATTTTTAACATACAGAGGATTGTTCTAAAACAGCGATTTTTTGAAAATATTATGACAAGTTTCTCAAAATGTGTCAGTTACTTTAACACACAAAAGAATGATACTTAATTGTGCCATGGGACAATAGAAAATAATAAAGGAATGAGCATTCTCATGTGATTCATGGCCAATTATGAGTAGGCTTCTAACTTATAAGGGGGACAAGGGTTATTTTCGTTCAACGTAATTGCAATATTTTTTGTTCGTACAACGTATCGTAATTCTGTAATCACAGTCTAGACGTACATCGTTATCAATCAAATATTTTTTTTCGTACACTGTAAAAATGTGTCATTTTTCTCGGTACGTACAAGAATTTACATCCAAATAAAAAAAGTCGTGAAGAATAATCCAGGGAAATTACATTTTCGAAACTGTAAAACGACTTGATGACACATTTCACTGTAAACTGTAAAAACGTCTTTTTTTCTTGTAAATTGTAAAGAGCCCTTTTTATTTCCCGTAAAACTCTACCAGCTACCCCTCGCCCCCTCTATAAGAGCTACTTCGCTCGTCGTTATACTCTGAATTAATCAAATTCTGATTCGTTGGTTTCCTTGTCCTTTTTGAGTGTTTGTTTTATTCATTTTGAGTGCCAGTGCCTGTCTTTACCATTCCCCAGGTGCAGCCAATAGAGCTGTTCCAAGGGATTTTTGTTGAGGACAGGGGATTTTTTCTATTCTTTGTAGGGGGCGGGAAACATAAGTACCCCCCAGTGGGCAGGGTAGATTTCTAAAAAAAATGCAAGGACAGGGAAACTTTTTTTAGTGGGTAGGGTACATAACAAAATATCGCAGGATGGGCAAAACAGCATTTAGGGCAGGGTATAATAAAAAAACGCATTAGGGGAAATAACATCTGCTAAATGTGGGCAGCCGTGTGCTACCAATAACTGAAAATGCGAGTGGTTAATGTATTCAAGAAGCCCATAGAAGCCAATGACTCGATGAATTACGCCACCAATCGGTGTTTTTTTTAATGAGGGGAGTGGAAAGATGAATTTGGTCAGCAGGAGGGGAAGACCATTTTTTTAGGTGGAGGGTAGCTTATGAACAGCTTTTAATTCCCCCTCTTTCCTTTATATTAATTAGCATACTTCAAAAGTCCCATAAAATAAATTTTGTCCGAGGGAATTGTCTATTTCAATTTATTGCTCCTTGGTTGCACCTGATTCCCCTATGCAATGTGTAGGTCATACCAATAAAATTTATTAGTTTTTTGAATTAAATATATATATATATTATTATTATTATTTTCGCATTACTACCGCCGCACACAGCGTTCGAATACCAAGACAGTGCGTCTGTTAGCTAATTTGCAAGCCAGTTTAGGCACATCGCATCGCTGCGTGATTTCAGTTAGAAGTTCAAAGTTCTCAGTCGCGTCAAGGAAGATACAATTATTTTGAAGTGTAAAACACTACAATCTTTTGAAAATCATAATATACAGTATGCTATATTTGTGTTTTTATTATGCAATACAAAACAGCTGCTCCAGACGTGTCGGACATTTGTCCTGTCTTTATTTTTGCTGTTACAATGTACTTCAAACGGTTTTCCCCATGCATGCAGTACACGTAAGCCCAATGGAATATTCTAATTATTTTTCAATTTGAAGTTGGTAGATTGGTAAAACTCAAGTGTAAAAACCTCTCAAGAGGACAGAGATGTAATAATTGCTTTTTAGCCTTCCTCGGTAGTTGACCTTTCTATGAAACAGATACTGTAAAATGACTAATTTTCACTGGGTTTAAATTTCACTGATTTCCCATTTCAGGCATATTCAGTGGGTTTAAAATTCACGGTTTCGTCATTTAGATAATGTGTTCTATGCTAAACTTTACATATTCACTGTGTTTTAATTTAGCGCATTTTTCCAGTCAGCGAAATAAGCTAAATTAAAACCCAGTGAATAATTACCCCCTTTACAGTATTCTGTCCAGTATACGATTTCACGTTATTAGCGCCCTCAGTTGCTTACCGGAAGTAGTTTCCTGCGCAGCAACCTTGCGTAGCACATGCACGGTGTACATGCCCGGTACTGTACTGCTGTTGTCATCTGTTTCCGTCGATCCTTTTTTTGACTTTTCGAAAAAAACGCCAAATACGATGGCTGACGACAGCTGGGCGAAACAAGTAGATGACCAGGAAAAGGCGCAACTTGCAGAAAAGGTGAGAAAACTGTTCTGTTCGAAAATATCACCACAGTGATAAATAAACGATCATCGAGCTCAATAATGTAAATGTCCAACTACAGAGAGGGAACTGTGCTGTGGTCTACGACATTTACAGCCTACAAAGTGGCAGAAAACCTGTGTTGGCTACACTGTCCAAGTCTTACAAACAAACGTATTGTCTTATTTTATGGTATAATTCGATGTACAGCGTTAACCATTGTAACATTACTGGTTGTACATCTTGGCAAATCCTTTGTCACGATCGGCATGCAATTGTTGTATGGCTTCAACCTCATGAAAACGGGTTCTGAGGTTCGTTCCGGGTTGTTCTGGCTCGTTCTTGGTCGCTCTGTTTTGTTTTTTGTCGTTATTTGGTCAAACACCATCTCGGAATGTGTTGATTCCTCTATTAATAGAGCATGTCAAGTACTTGCACATTGGCTGGCGAGGAGTTTGAACGAAAATCAAGGTGGTTGTTACAATTTGTTACCATAAAACAGATTTTCTTTACCTTCACAATATAATTTAGTTTAAGCGGTGGCTTTAGTGTAGAACAAGTGTGTGAGGTTGACTTTCAAAAAGACGATCTTATCGATAAAATCAGTACAAACCAAATACTTTCTTGATGAATAAACTTCACATTGAACACAAATATGCGACGATATCAACTATTTATCAATAAAAAATGCTACCCAACTAACTTAGTCTTTGATTGCGTCAATTGCAAAATGGTGACAATTTATAAGGTTGAAACATTTCCTGCCCTCTTACGACAAGATTGCAAAGTACGTATTACGAATTAGTAAATTAGGATTAGTGTTATTGGTATCTGTGGGTCTATTGCTCTTCTTGTGTTGGTCTTCAGTTATTTTGATGGTATTTTAGATAACAGAAAATTATAAGCAACAAAATATCACATAATTTCTGACTTTTTTAAATCTATTTTGCTACTTTTTTCGCATTACTGTTGATAAACGTTTAACCTAGAACAGGCAGTAAAATCATTTCTGCCTGTAACCAATCAGTGTGCAGCTTCTGAATTAGCATAGGAAAATGCTAGAAAAGCTTTGGCTGCTTTGTAAAAGGCATGCTGATTGGCTACAGACAGTCGCTGGTCATTCTCCTTAACAGTCTATACTAGTTTTGGCATTAATTTGTAGTAGTGCCTGAAATACCCTGTTATTGGAAACAAAGCTGGTTAAAATGTGCTTTGTAATTAACTTTCATTTTTTCTTATTATACCAAGTCCCTGCTAGTCCACTGTGAGTGCTAATTTGCTAAATATGCTTAATATATTCGAATTATCCTAAATCTCATCAGAACATCAAAGGTGGTACTCTGTATTTAACAGTATTAATGTAAAATACTTTATTTTAGCTGGAATTAATTTTTGCTTAAAAAATGTTTTGGATGTTTTGTATGGAATTTATTTTCACTGATTTTTGACAAGTTGATTGTAAAATATAGGAAAAAATCTTTATTTGCTGGATTTTATTTTCACTGAATCATTCCTTCAGCGAAAATTATTTCCAAGTGAAAATAAAGTATTTTACAGTACAATAGTTGCTGAGTTTGCATTGAAGCTTGGGCCCCTCCCAATCTGATTAAAAATCTGATGTAATGTACGGGCTTTAATTATTTTGGCTATAAACTTATTTTAATTTTATTTTTATACTTTTGTTATAATGCCTTTTTATTTATTATTTTACTTTGATTTTGATTTTGTGATTTTTTTTTTTTAATTCCGCCCTA